GTCGCCCCTCCCGACCCAGGCCAAGGCAGTGTCCTCCCCCCAGGGCACCACGGGCCCCGGGTCAGGGGAAGGGCAGAGGGGGTCCCACGACACACAGGTTAGGGGTGACCCAACAATGACTGGAGCCTCTAGGTCAAAATTCAAGCCTGCTGGGGACACCCTGCTCGTTGATGGGGGGGGGCAATGCGCACCCTCCAGGGGACTGCAGAACGCCTGTGCGCCTCGGTCCCCAGCCTCAGGGTGCCCGGCCGAGGAGCCTTGCCCCCACCAGACCCCCGCGCCCCCCTGCTGCCCTGACCACACGGCCCCCACCCCGGCCTTAGCGGCCTGAGGCCCAACCCGTTCCACGTGCCACCTGCATCCCCGAGGCAAAAGTTGCTTTAAATGATGCGGAGGGCACTTCTGTAATGCTTGTCCACGTATGTGCGTGTTTTCCAGTGTGATGGTAAAGGAAGGTCCTTAGAACCAAGGGAAAGGTGGGTTCTGTCGGCAGGCGGCACGCTCAGAACGCCCGTCTTCCACCCGGTCCTGCCAGTGTCCAGGTCCTGCAGGCGGCATCGGCGCTGAACGCAGACCCCCGCGGCGCCACGGGCCCCGCGAGCCAGGGCCCCTCTCCCGGTTCCCAGGGGCGGAGGGGGCGCGGGAGGGGCTCGGGACCCACGCACCCAGGCGGTGAGCCTCCGGGAGGCTGGAGGCTGCGGACGTCCCGCAGGTGGAACCCTGAGTTTCAGGCGGGCGGGCGGGGCGCCGGCAGAGGGCGCCTGGCTCTTCGGCGGCCGGGCTGCCTTCCGTTCACCGAGAGAGTGGCAGCGTGAAACTCAGTGTGTGTGACTTTTCCGTTTGAAACTGCGGGGTCCAGCCCAAATAATGCCCCTTTTTCATTACAAGCCTCTTTACTACAAAACCCGAAGCGTGTGGTTCTGATCCTGTGACTCGGCGCTGCCCCACAGAGGCACGCGTGTGAGGTTTGCGGGAGGCGCCCCCGTGAGCACCCGCCAGCCACGCGCAGGCCGGCGCTGCCTCCGCCGGGCCCTGCTGTCCCGTCCTCACTTCTGCACGCTCATCTTTTCTTAGTGACGTCACCAAAGAAAGTGGACGTAAAGAAGTATGCTCTGGATTTGTATGTCTTTAGGCAAAAAATAAATGCTCTGGGCTGAACCTTTTGTGTAAGTGAACAAAGAAGTATATATAGGTAGTGTGGGTCAGTTCACAGACAGGTTTTGCTACTGTGGACAAGGCTTCATTTCATGTTTTCGTGATTTCTTTGAAAACTGAGGGCGGCGAGAAAATGTGTTTTCTCCCATCTGGGGCCCGTCCCCCAGCAGAGCTGCCGCGGCGACGGGGGCGGAGGGCTGCAGCGGCGCCCGCCACGGCGCCCGTGGGGAGCTCGGGATGCGCCGGTCCGACCTCCGCGCCGCCGGCTCTCGGGGTCAGGGAGCCCCCGTCCGCATTCCGGCCGCCGCGCTCCTGGCCAGGGCACGTCTGCGAGTCCACCTCGCGGGCTGGGCCGGCTGCGCAGACAAGACGGCGGGACTGTCAGACTTCCGTGCTGAGACTTGGAACTTGATCTCGGTCCTAACTGCCTTCCTTCGCACGTCTGCTTCCTGAGCGCTCCTAGTTACTTCCCGAGCCCTCTGGGCCGTGCCGGCGGGCAGGAGGCCCTGCAGGAGGGTCTCACGAACCAGTGGGCCGTGATGGGGCTCCAGTGGGCGGGCTGAGCCCCTGCGCGGCTGCCCCCGGTCCCGGCTGCGGTTCGCAGCCCCGGGGGTCGGCCCCGGGTCCGGCGGAAGGGCACAGCAGAGGTGAACCTAGGAAGCGAGTTGCCTGTCCTCGCACTCCTGTGGCGCACGCCGGTGCAGCGCTGCGGGGCGCTCACGGGTCTGGAGCTCGGTGGGTGGGCCGGAAGGCCTTTCCTGGTGGCGGGGGTCGCGGCTCTTGGCCTCTGTGCAGGGGTGACTGGCGACGACGGCGCCTATACGGGTCCAGGTCAGACGGGGGGCCCGGGGCAGGGAGGCGTTCTGGGGAGCCCGGGCTCAGGCCCCACGGCCCAAGAGCCGCCACAGCGGCCGGGCCCCCAGGCGCCTGCCGGACAGGGGCTGGCTCACGGCTTCAGAGACCCGAGCTTGTGGGTGGGCCCGAATTCTTCTTTTCTTAGATTTGACCTGGACACTTCAAAATCTAAGCACACTGAAAACGTTTCGTTGTGATTTCCCCGTCAGCGTTCTTAAACGTCTGTACAGGAGGGGTTTTCCCAGCCGGGCAACAACCCGGGGCACCCACACTCCTTCCTGCCTTTCTGGGTTTCCCCGGTCCCCGGGCACACGCGCCATGACGCACGGGACGGGCCGGGGGTCTCGCGCGTTTTTGTCTGGAGTTTGTCCGTGAGGCGGCGGGGGCTGAGGCGCCCCGTCAGCCTCCCGGGGCGGCTGCACCGGTGGTGCCGTGGAGCGGGACAGGCAGACTGCGTGACGCGGGCGATCCGTGCGGCCCCCTCGCGCCCCGGACCCACGGCACTTGGTGCCACCGTCTGTGACGGCGCCCGGCAGCCGGGGGTGGGGGGCGCCTGGTGCTGGCCCTCCCGCCGCGCAAAGAGCCGGTGCCTGCCTGTCGGGGGGTTTCCATGGAAACCCAGTCACCCCTTCTGCCACTTCCGACCCACGCTGTTGGCCTCGGGGGCTCTGATCGGCCCACACAGGCCCCCCTTCGTGGAGGAGACCCCCCCTCGGCTGGGCGGGCACAGATTGAGGTCCTGTTCCCCGATGGCACACCACGGTCACCGCCGCCATCGAGGGGCGGCGCCCCCTCCGGCAGCGGAACAGTCGCCTTGTCCCCCCTCGCCGCCGGAAGACTGTGTCCTTGGACGTGGAGGCTCCTGAGCCAGGGAGTCTGCGTGGCCATCTGAGAGCCGAGAAAGCCTCGCGTCTCGAACACCGATGAGCCGCAACAGAGCAGGCAGAGGAGCTGGGACCCCATCCTGGGCCGCCTTCGGGGTGGCCGCCGAACGGTGGACACGTGGTGTCCCGGGGGGCTCGGGGGCCAGTGCAGGAGGAGAGAGGAAGAAGCCCCCCTCCCCAGCCCGGGTCAGACCGGGGTCACCCCAGGGCCAGGGAGGGGCACCCCTGGTCCGCACCCCGGCTGCCCCACCTGAAACCCTGAGGGTGAGGAGGAACCTTTTCTGGAAGCAAGGCCTTCGCAGGGCGTCCTTCCGCCCCGACACAGCGAGTGCTCTGAGCAGGGGCCGAGTCGATGAGGCTTTGCCCTCGCGGTGCCAAGGGACTCTCTAGACGCCTCTTTTCTAATCCACGTGACGCATTGGTAAATGGCTTACTCGCACAAAACTACTCTGAAACTCTCCCTCTCACTTTACAGTCACTAAAATCTGACCTTTATTTGCGTGGTTTTGGTTGCAATGCATCCCTTTAAACTTGAACAGAGTGTGTCCACCTCCTGCCCCCAGCAGAAAAGGCGTATGAAAAAATTATACTCGTGTTAAAATGAATACATCTTAATTACGTTTGCACCCAGTGGTCAAATTAGGAAGAGCTTAAGGATTTTTTTTTTTTTGTAACAAAAAGCAAGGCCAAGCGTGAGTCCCTGGCCCGGGGAAACACCCCGTTTCCCGCTACATTTTCAAGACGGAAACTTGCGCGAAGACTAGCTTCTCCCCGAGCCTCGAGGCCCGAGGCTCCTGGCCTGTGTGCCCGCCAGGCACCACTGCAGAAGGCAGCTGTTGAAGTCGCGGGTTAGAAAGCAACCACTTAGCAGCCGGCAGAGGGGCCGTGTGACCGGACAAACTGCTGTTCCTGCCGCAACGGTCGGGTCCACAGCGGGACTCCTGGCCGTGGCGGGACGCGTGGGTTCTGCCTGAGCCCCGCGCTGTCCTCTCTCGCACCCGATTGCACGCGCGCACACACACCGACGGCTGCTCTTTCCCGCTTCACCCGTCACTGTCTAACCCCCCCCCCCCAGCACAGGCTGGGGCTGAGCTCTCGCCTGTGACGCGATGTGGCAGCCGTCTGTCGTGGCCCCGGGACCCGGCATCGTGGCCCCTTGCTTGGGCTCGTGGAGATCTTGACTCTTTCCAAGACGCAAAAATTGTCGACGTGTCCGAGCGTCAGAATTCGGCGTCGCGCAGTGGGACGCCGCCCAGTCTCACGGCCCCACGCCCCTCCCCACGCCCTCTCGTCGGACCCGGGGGGCGTCCCTGGCTGACCCGGCCCCCAGGACCCAGGGACGCTCTGAGTGGGGAGCACCACGGAGGCTCTTAGAAGCGTTTGCCTCTGTTAAATACTTAAAATCTGTGTTTTCGTCCCTAATTTTTACATTCCTGGCGGGCACAAAAGCAACCGAAGCAACTTAAAATGGCTCTTCAGAGAGGGCAGAGTTGAGCAGTCGGGCGGGGGAAGGGCCGCAGCGCTGTGCTCCACCCCGCCCTCCCCGGCAGAGCGGCGCGCTGGCGGGCGCTGGCTGGCGGGGGGCGGGGTGGGGGCGGCTGAGCAGACCTGCCCGCCTCAGCGGCCTGGGCCTGGTCCATCGAGACAGGCGTGTGCTCTGCTGAGTCCGTTGAAAGTAACGGGATTTACAGTCAGTCGGGCCCAGCTGAGGGTCTGAGAGCTGGGTCCAGGCCCCGCAGCTCAGGCCCAGCTGCCGCCACCTGCCGCCCGGGCCAGCCCTCGGGCCGGGGGCGTGCAGAGCAGGACGGTGCCGTGCACGCTCCACCTGTAGGAGACCCTTGCCTCGTGCCTGGCCTGTGTCACAGGCCCCTCGGGGACCGTGTGTGGGGCTGGGCTCCCAGCGTGGCGGGGGAGGCGGCTCAGGCGGCCTCTGAGGTGGTGACAGGGAGCCACGGCCACGGCCACGCAGCCTCCAGCTGCACGTCTCCCCGCGCAGGGAGCTCGCGTGTTGACGGGAGTCCACTCCCTGGAGACACGGGAGAGAGACACGCCCAGGGGTTTCCGTTTCTGCCGAGTAAAGTGCCCGATCTGTGTCCTTGCTTGCAGGTGCCCCACCCCCGGCTGCGACGGCTCCGGACACATCACAGGCAACTACGCGTCCCACAGAAGGTAGGTGGGGCCGGGCCGCGCCGTCCTTCCTCGCCACCCCCGCCCCCAGGGGGCGCTGCTGACAGCCCTGCCACTGCCCCCGCTGCCAACCGGGGGTCCCGCGGCGCGGCGCGGTGCCCGCAGGGCCTCCTGGAGCCGGGCGCCAGCCCTCTGGCCGGGCTCGCCCTCGGCAGCGGCTCCACTCGCCACGGGCGGTCCTGACGGCAGCCGGTGGCGCGGGCGCCGTCCTGCGTGCGGGGAGGAGGAGGAGGTACAGGGGAAGCGTGCGGCCCCCGAGGACCAAGGTCGTTAGAAAGCCGCCTCCCCGACGCCGGAAACACTCGGGGCTGAGCCACGGGCGGCGCGGTCACGGCCCCCAGGGTCGCGCGGGGGCCCGCAGAGCTGCGCACTCGGAAACCCCGGGCCTTAGCGCCGCCCTCGCTGCCCCCCCCCCCCCGCCCCGGGAGACAGGGGCGTCTGCGCGCAGCACAGGCGTGTCCTGTGGCGGCGCCCGTCCCAAGCGAGCCGGCACTCGGTCCTCGTCTGGGAACGCCCCCACCACGCCCGGCCCCAGGCTGAAGCGCGTGGAGAGAACCTTCTGGTGCGAGAGCCACACGGCGGTGGGGGGAGGGGTCCAGGCCCTGTGGCCAGGTGCGGGGGTGAGGAGCCAGCCAGCGCCAGGGGCGCGCACACTCTGTGCCAGCACTGGGACCCCCGCGGGCACGCAGAGCCCGGCTGCCCTGACGCTGAGCGGGCCGAGGGGTCAGACAGCCGTTCGCTGCCGCTGGCTACGACGTCCCGGACGACGACGTGGGTGGTCTGACCGCGGACGTGCTCTCCTGCTTCACGTGCACCCCCCCACAGAGCCAGGGAGAGCCAGGAGGGCGAGGGCGCCGGCCAGCTGCGGGCCGCCGCCGCCACAGCGAGGTCAAGCGCACCAGCCCAGGGAGCAGGCAGCGTTCGGAGGCTGCACCACAGGCCAGGGGCCGGGGCAGAGGCACTCACTGGCTGGCCGGCCCGGTCCGCTCCTCGTCAGGACCTGGCTGCCGGGTCCCAAGCCTCTGCGGCCACTTCCCAGCGTCTGGGGCGCCGTGGGCGCCGCGCAGGCCCGTGGGAGGTGCACAGCCTGGAGCCGGCGGCGCCAGCTCTGCGACACTGGGGCCTCCGTGCTCACCTGAGGCCGACCTCTCTCCTCCAGACCGGCGGCCAGCCGGCCCGGCGCTGCCAGCGTCCTGGATAGGACCTGTCTGGGCTGTGGGGGCCACTTGTGACATCACCGGGTGTCCCCAGGGCCGGGGCCGCTGCCACTGCCCGCAGGTCAGGACGAGCCTCGGGACGACGGGCTGGTGTCACCGGCGTCCAGAGCAGCCCCGGCACTTTGAACGTAGGACAAGAGTCACCTCCAGAAGGTGTCCAGGGCGAGGTCACTGGTTTAGAGCAAACGCAGCACAGCCGGCCTTGGGTCTGCAGTCCGAGGTTACAGGTCAAGTGCAGCCCACGCCGGTCCCTGCTGCAGCCCGTGGGAGCAGATCCCCGGGCCTCCCGCTGCGGTGCCCGCGGCGTTGGGCGACGTCTGCACAGCTGGCAGTGGGCGCTTCGGCCGCTGCCTGTCCGGGCGCCTGTGTCTGCTGGGCGTCGGGTGTGATGCAGTTTGGACACTTTCCATCGCACTGGGGCCTCGGGTGGGGACTGTCGGCCCAGCGTGAGCGAGGGCCCCCACCAGGATGGACCGGAGAGCAGGCCCGCAGGCGGGGTTCGGTTTCCAGCCCACGGCGGAGGGGGGCGCAGCAGCCCCTGGGCGTGGAGCGAGCGACGGGCTGCATGTGCTGCAGTGGGGGGAGTCCTGCTGGCCGCCCCCCCTCCCCCCGCGGGCAGCAGGGACGGCGGCGAACTCCGGGGCGGGCAGAGGCGCTGCCCCGGCTGGGAGGTCCTGTTTAACGGAGCTCCAGCCCAGCACAGACGTGGGCACCCTTCCCGGCCGGGCCTGTGGAGCCCAGGGGCCGCAAGTTCAAGTACAAACGCTGTTTTCCCTGTGGGTCTCCGTGGCCCATTCCCAGGAGCGTGGGGTCGCCCCCCAGACTCCAACCCAGAGGCGGCTCAGCCCCTTCCGGGGGTCCTGCTGTGTCCCCTGAGGCGCGGGCAGCCTGGCTGCCCCCTCCTGGGCACGGCCCCAACTCGAGACCCCGTGCTCCCCTGGGGCTTTCAGAGCCACGCGGCGCATCTGGCGACTTCCTCGCTGTGCGCTGGCGGTGGAAGCCGGGGCCGTGGGCGGCTGCCTGGTGGCGCTGGGGCGTCCGCGGTGGACTCGTGTGGGGTGGCCCGCGGTCGGCACCCGTCCCGTCGCGACCGGCCGGATCCGTGCCGGCTTCTCGTTTTGGCGTCCACAGTGGGGCGGTGTTCGGTCTCTGCGCCGTCCCAGAAACTGCCCTGAGTGCCTGTCGGTCCGTGTGGATTGGCGGCTCCGACACTCGGTTAAGAAGCCCACCCATCGTCTGTGCTCCGCTGCCCCCACCCCTGGCCTGGGGCGGCGACCTCGAGGGGCACGGCCCCGCCCCCTTGTCTGCCCGGGACGCAAAAGGCCCCTCTCCGCGGCCCCTGGAAGGCCCGTCCCCAGGCCTCCCGCATCTCCCCTGGCCACAGGCCCACACTCCCTCGCCTCCCCGGGGGCCCTGGTGAGGAAGGAGACCAGCTCCTCCCGGGAGCCCCGGGCGAGCGATGCTCAGCCCCCCAGAGACTGGGGCTGCCCCCACTCCCAAGCACCCCTGTCCCTGGGGCTCCCTGAGTCTGGGTGCTGGGCTTCTGCAGTGTGAACGGCCACCTCACTCCACTCAGAAGCGACCTGTTGGCTTTAAGTTCGGCCCCGAGGAAGGAACCACAGACCCAGACCCAAGTGGGCAGCCAGGCTCTAAGGTTGCTGAGCCCGTCTCTGCCGGCGCCTGGGAGGCCCGCTGGCGTTCAGGCCCCTGTGACAGGTTCACACCACGCTGACAGTGCTGGCGTCCTCGCCCCAGAGTGCGGGCGGGACGTGGGCCCCTTGGGCAGACCAGCACCTGTTTGCTGTGCACCTGCTGGGCTCCCTGCCCCCCCCCCAGTCCGCCGGCCTGCGAGACGTGGCCGGGCTCCCCAGCTCCGGCTTCTGCAGGGGAGCTCCAGGCTGGGGCTGCAGGGACAGGAGGGTGTCCTTCCCTCATCCCCAGGGCTGGCCGGGCGTAGTTGTTTGTCGTGCGTTCCAGTGCTCCGCGGGTGGGAGGGGCGTCCTCCAGTTTCCACCCAACGTGGAGACGGCAGGAGGGGGTTTGGAGAGCCCCTGGCCCACCGGGAGGACCAGGCCCGGGGCAGCGGGTCAGTGGGGAGCTCAGGCCGACAGGAATGCTGGGCCACTCCTGCCGAGGGAGGAGCCTTGAGAGCACGGGGGGGGGGGGGGGGTAGCTGCACCCCGTGCCTCCGCCGGTCTCATCTCCCTGCCCAGGAGCTCGCAGCCAGAGAGAAGCCCGCCAGAGCGCTGCCAGCCCTGCGGGCCGCCTGCCGGCCGGGCATGCAGGGCCTTCTGAAACCACGCTCCTCCTTCAGCCTTTCAGGTTGTCCGAGGGCGAAGAAGAGTGGCATCCGGATAGCGCAGAGCAAGGAGGACAAGGAGGACCAGGAACCGATCAGGTGCGCGCTGGCGGGGCGGGCAGCCGGCGGGGTCAGCGGGGGCCGCCCTCTGCGGTGTCAGTCGCCTGCACGGTCCGATCGCTGAAGCCCAGATCCAAGCGAACGGTCTAGGGAACAGGTGACTTGATAAGCGAATGCCCACCCGTCCGACCGATGGTCTGAGGGAGTCCGACACCAGACTCCCCGCCGCCCCCCGGTGGAAGGAGCCGTTTGCTTCCCCGGGAGAGCAGACGCGGGGAAGCAGGTGAAGACACGGAGACACCACGCAGAATGCGGGCGTGGTGCCCACGCCCCGGCTTAGGGAAACCGTCGGGCTGCCCTCACGTGGGGGCGGAGTGTCTGCCGCCCGCTCACACAGGCCACGGCCCCAACGGGCCCCCGGGAGCCAGGGTCTCAGAGACCCCGAGGGGAACCCGGTGCCGTCTCCCTGGGGTTCAGCCTCACGCAGTGTTTTCAGAGAAAAATTTAATTAAAACAAAATAATAATGAATCATAATAAAAATTACTAAAAATAAGTTAAAGTGTATGGAGATAAATAGGTGATACAAATTCTGTAGAATGTGCCTCCACTGGTACATAAAGAAACGCCAGCAAACCCCACCTGCGGGGGGGCCAGCGAGGGGCCCTGCACCCGCACTGGCCGCAGTAGAGCAGCCGCGTGTGGCTGGGCGGGGCGGGGCCCAGCCCTTCCCGGCGGCCCGTGGGAGGGGTCTCAGGAGCACTGGCCAGCCTGCCGCTGGACTGGAGGGCCGCCGGCCAGTGAGGGTTCCTTTACTCCGAAGCGTCCCCAAGGTGAGCTTCGCGCCAGCGCTGTTCCCGGAGCCTGGGGGCCGGCTCGTGCGTCTGGGAGGGCACGTCCAGCTCCCACAGAGCGTGGCCCCACAAACGAGTGCTCCCCAGCTCCCGAGAAGCCGCCTTTTTCCACACAACCCAGCCGTCTCCCGCTGACGTTGCGTGTTTTCACCATAGAGGCCGTGACTCCGTCCCACTCCCCGGTGGGGCCCTTCAGCCGCAGCAGCTGGTCCCCCCGGGGGGTTCTGTGAGGGGCAACGCAGCGTCGCCCCACTAGGTGGCGCCTCTCAGCTCATTAGTTGTTTTTTTGTTGTTTTTTTTCTGTGCCCGAGCACAGCGTGACTTTTCCTTGGTGCCCAGGGATTCTGACCGTGCTGCAGAGGCTGCCACATGCCTGGCAGCCAGGCAGCAAGGTGTGTCTCCCGTGTCCGCCCCCAGGTGCCCCGTCCCCGGCTGCGACGGCCAGGGCCACATCACCGGGAAGTACGCCTCGCACCGCAGCGCCTCGGGCTGCCCCCTGGCGGCCAAGCGGCAGAAGGACGGGTACCTCAATGGCTCCCAGTTCTCCTGGAAGTCGGTCAAGACGGAGGGCATGTCCTGCCCGACGCCCGGGTGCGACGGCTCGGGGCATGTCAGCGGCAGCTTCCTCACGCACCGCAGGTGAGCGCGCTGGCCGGCTGGGGGGCAAGGGGGGTGCGGGAGCGCTGGCAGCCCCTCAGTCCCCGCCTTGCCGAGAGGGAAGGGCCGGGGAGCCCAGGCACCGAGCGGACGCCCCTGAGTGTGGGGAGGAAGGAGAAGGCCGGGCAGGTTTTGGAGGGCGCCAGCTCGTTGGCGCGGCACCACACGGGGCCGGCAGCTGTCAGGCGTCTGCGGAGGGTCCACCCCGAGAGGCAGGTTGCAGGCTCCCACACCGGTGGGCCTCGGTAGCCTTGGGGGCACGGGCCAGCCTGGGCCGAAGACACAGCAGAGAAGCCCCAGAAGAGACAGCCGACCCCACTCCCTTTACTCTGCTCGGTGTGAGGACCAGCGCCCGCAGTGAGACCGTCTGGGGGAGACAGGGGCCCGTTCCGGGGACGCCAGTGGCCCCTCGGGGTCCCAGCAGGGGGGTCAGGACGGCAGAGGGGGACAGACTGATCAGACAGCAGCCCGTCGGGCTGGGGGTCCGGGCATCACGGACACCGGGCTGGGGGGTTGTGAGGGGGAGACTGGGACACCGTGCTGACACTGTGGCACCCTGCTTGGGGGGGGGGGGCGGGGTCAGGCTGTGCCCTGCACATGGTGCCTCTGACTCCGTCTGTGACACACCCACGTGCCGCGGGGGCGGACAGGAGCGCGCGCAGACCGTGAGCAGCGACCGTGGCGTGCTGGGGCCGCGGCAGTGAGCTCGCCGGCCGTCCTTTCAGGAAGACTCTCGTAGTGAGGAGAGGAGGTCGGGTACAAAGTGCGAACGGGATGGACGGGGCAAAGAGACCGGGGGTGTCCCCGCCCCAGCCTCCGCTCTCGGCTCACGTCCCGAGGCTGGCAGTGAGGTCCCCTCTGGCGGGCGCCCCTGAGCAGGACGCACGCATCACCCCCTCCCAGCCCGCACCCCTCCTTTCTTCCGGTGCAAACAGATCACGGTGCTTCTCACACGTCTGCTCCGGACAGGGGGGGCCCGCGTGGGTTTGTCCTGGGGTGCAGGGACCTCCCGCTGCCTCGTCCTCGTCGGGCAGCCCCCCTCCCCCCACGAGAGCTCAGTGCGTGCAGACGGCCCGGCCTCCCCCTGGGCGCGGGCGGCACAGTGCCAGCCTGTGCGGTTTCCCAGGCGCTGACAAAACGCTCTCCCGAGTTCCTGCTGCAGCAAACCTTTGACCATCCGCCATCTCTTTAACGTTAAATCCCGGCCAAACGACACACGAGCGAGGGCGCCTGTGCTGCGCCGACCTGGCGCGGGAACACAAGCCCCGTTTCTGTGGTTCGGTGCGGGGGGCCCCCTGCGAGGCAGACACTCTGGACAAGGGTGGGGCTCCCGACGCCTCCATCCAGCCGCAGGGGAGGGCGGGAGACGGGCGCCGTCCGGCCCGGTCATGACCCCGACTCCAGACGCCAGCTCCGGCCCATCCCCGGGTGTCGGGACGGTGCTGGGGGGCCGGGGCAGGAGACCGCGGTGAAGGGCAGGTGCGGGGGGGAGTGAACCTGCGCCATCACCTCGGCCTCACGCCGCTTCCAGCAGGACACAGGGGCCCTCTGGAGTTCAGCGTGCGTGTCCTCACCCGGACCCGCACACACTGACTCTTGGATGTGCGCCCTGTGCTCTCCCACGGGCCTTCACCACTCGGCCTTCCCACCGTCCGCTCCCGGGCCCCGGGACCCCGCAGCCCCCAGAGCGCACGGGCGGCCGCGCTCGCTTCCAGTCCCGCCGCAGCCCGTTCCCAACGAGGGGGCCGTTTCCAGAACGTCTCCCGGCCGGTGCGCCCCAGGGGGCGGCCGTGGAAACCAGCCACCGTCCTGGCTCTCAGAGGGACCCCAGCCGCCTCGTTGGGTGGGCGTGTCCTGGGGAGGGGAGGGGCAGGCCGCCCCAGCAGACTCACCCCAACGGGCTTCCGCACACGGAGCCCCTCCCTTGCCCACAGAACAGAACTGGGTGGTGGGCCGGAGAGAAGGGCCCTGCCCCCTCTCACATCTGTCATCCAAGGGGTTTCTTACTCCTCAGCCGGGGAGGAAGGGACCCGAGGGCCTGGGGGCACATGGGGAGCACACACCTCCCCCCCGCCGCTTCCTTCACGTCGGGCAGGGCCAGGCCCCGGGCCACTCGGCCACCCTCTGCTCTCGCCGCAGAAGATCGAGGTGGGGTTCCCTGTGCCTCCCTGCACTCTGCTACCTGGCCTCGTGCTCGTTTTGCTTTGGAGGAGGCCGGGGGGCAGCCCCTGCCCGCACAGGCCTGTGCTCGGCTCGGGACTGAGGTCCCCAGTACGGGGACACATTGCGGGCTTGCCGAGGAAGCCGTGGTGTCCCCTGGTGCAGGGAGACGTGCCGCCCAGGGCCGTGCCCCCGCCTGCACTCACCCCTGACCCCTGAGGGGGGTCGGACCTAACTAGAACCCACAGTGAGCCCCCGAGACCGACAGCGCACCGCCGTCACCGCCCGCAGCCCTGGGGCCCCTTTGGAGGCCAGCTTCCTGCGGGGCCCCTGTCCGGAGCCCCCGCCTGCCTCCTGCACACCCCTGGGCACTGCCCCATGCTGACTGACCACTGACCGCGGCCCCGAACCGGCTCGGACGGGCCAGCTCCTGTTGTATCCAGAAGTGTCAGGGCCTGCCCCCGAGTGCGGGGGAGGCGAGAACCCAGATCCGGCACCTGCCTCCGACTGCAAGTCCCCGAGGGCCGGTGGGTGAGAGGCCGGGTCACATCTGTGCTCGCTCCCCCAGAGCCTCTCGCCTCGCCGCCTCTCTCCGCCCCCTGGGGCAGAGGGCCTGACCCGGTAGTGCTCTCCATCCCACTAACTCGAGTGCAAATCCACCGGGAGACACCGTGCCCGGGCGCACGTCTGCACCGCAGGCGGAGCCCAGCCGGACAAAGACACGCTCAGCCCCCACGGGCGCCCGAGTCTCAGCGCCACGGGGATTCCTCCGTGGAATCCGCCTCCTCCACAGTCCCCGCCCCTCGATGACGCCGCTCGTGGGAGGAGCGCAGTCCACGCGGCACCAGTGGGCGGAAACCCTGTGGGAAGCGAGGAGGCGTCAGGACCGGGAGCCTGCGGTCAGCCCAGACGCACGGCCGGCCGCGACAGGTCCCCGAGGTGTCCGACACAAACGGCAGAAAGCCACGCCCCCTGGTTCGGGGGCTCAGGCCCGGGGCTGCGATGCGGGCCTCTGCTGGCGGCCGGGCTCCTGGGTCTCCGCCCCTAGGCCCCGCGGCCGTGTTCCCCCGCGTCAGCGTCCAAGTCCCCGCCTCTCGCCAGGACACGGTCGCTGGCAGGGCCCAGCCTCGCCGGGCGCACCGTCACTTGCTGGGTCGCGTTGGCGAAGGCCGTCCCCAAAGGGGGTCCCAGGCGCAGGTCCCCGACGTCAGGACGTCAGCAGAGGTCTGGGGGGCGCCGTCGACCACAGCGGTGACCGCCCCTACAACCAGCGCCCGTCTCTCAGGGCCGGCGGTCAGTCGCCGGAGAGTTCACTGTCGTGGACACTCGGGGTGGGGCCCGTGGGGGCTCCCACCCTCAGGACCAGGCGGACCCCCTGGTCTCCTGCTCCCCCGTCTGACGCTCTGAGCTCCCGTCCCAGGTCTCCCGGTGTCCCCAGCGACCAGCAGCTAGCTCTCGCTGCAAACACTCCGCACCGCTCCCTGGCCCGGGGCGGCCTGGCCCCGCGCCCCAGGCCACCTGCGCCGCGAGGCGGAGAGGGAAGCCAGCGGTGGGTCGTGAATCCCGGCCTCAGAGGGGCGGGCGGGCGCGAGGTTGGGTGTGGCTGGGCGTGCCCTTCCCGGCCAGCGGAGCCCCACGCGGGACCTCTGGGGCGTCCTCCCTGCCGCTGGCCGCGCCGAACCGCACGCCCCGCCGCGTGCCTCTCTCCCACTCGCTCTCCTCCCAGCAGACGCGCGCGCGCGCCCTGGACGCCGTGGCTCGCTAGCGCCGAAGGGGTGGCCCTCGCAGCCAGCCGCGTCCCGGTAAAAGCTCCACGTGCCCTTTGCCTCCGCCCGGAACCCTCCCTGGCTCCGAGGCCGGCAGCCAGGGCAGGCGCCGGGGCCCAGGGACAGGGGGCAGCCGGGGGACCGGGAGCGGCGGGGAAGGCTAACCGTTCACGGCCGGGACCAGACCACCTGAGGTCCCCTGGCTTTCGGAGCGCACGCCCAGAGCTGTCCGTCAGAGGCGGTCTGGGCGGGGCTCCCTGAAACCCCGCCCCTGGGCGGAGACCCCCCCGTGCGGGCTTCCCCCGGAGCGGCCACCAGATGGCGCTGTGCCAGGCCCGGGGACTCCCGCCGCCCGTGCAGGTCTGGCCAGGCCCGCAGCCCACGGGGAGAAGCGACGCAGTCACCGGGGTGCACGGGGGCTGCGTGCGGGCGCCATCGCGAAACGCGCGGCTGCCTGAGCCTGTCTCTGTCTGCCAGTCGGGCTCCCGGCTCTGGCCGAAGCCCCCTGTGCTGAGTGGGACGCCCACCACTACCGGTCACCCCACGGGCAGTTCTGTGGACCGAAACCCGAGAGAAGCCCCAGACGTCTGCGCGGGTCTCGGGGGTCCGAGGGTGGCCCCGCTTCCCGGTGGGGCCCTGGAGCCGCGCGCCCTGCCCGCTCTGTCTGCTGGCTCACCCCGCCAACGCGCTCTCCCCGGCTGTGCTGGCCTCAGCAGGGGAACTGGGGGGGGGGGGTCCCTACTTTCGTCTGGAGTGCGCCGCTGGAACACACATGCACGCGTGACCCCGGGGACAGAGGACAGGCGTGGGGATGGCAGCCCAGCAGAGACCGTGATGAGTGAGGGTGCGGGCTAACCCGAGGGGAGGGCCCGCGGCTGGAGAGGCAGGGCTGTGGACGTGGGGCCAGGGGTCCGGCGGATGGCGGGCAGACAGTCCTGCTCCGTGGCGGACTGGGGGGGCGGGGGTGGGGGAGAGGGGAGCGGGCACAGGCAGAGCGCCCTGCACACCCGCCAGCCCGCGGGGCCGCGTGCACTGAGAGGACAGGGTTCTGCAGGGGGACCCGTCTCAGAGGGCTGCAGGAACACCGCTCAGGCCTCCCCCCGGACGCAGTGCGCGGAGAAGCCACACGCTCCTGCACGGGGAGTCCAGGTCGGGGATGAGCCGGGGAATGGGGAGCTCGGCGGAGCCCCAGGGGCCCAGCTGGGGACAATGACGGGTCACTGGTGACGGGGGTGAAGGGACAGGCCTGAGGACGAGTCAGCTCAGGAGACTCCTGGGAGGCAGGCCCCGGGGGGCAGCCCTGAGGGAGAGGTGGGCCTTGGGGACAGGTGCGGAGCCTCTCAGGTGCCACGGCGTCCGGAAGGCCTCCGCTTCCCGGTGTGTCTCCGGGAGGGGGAGGGGGAGGGGGAGGGCTGGGCCTGGGGCTGGTGACGCCCCTCTGGGCCGGAGGCCCGCGGCCCCGCCCCCTGTCGCTCTAGAACGGCCATTCGCCGAGGTTGCGGGAAGAGCACCAGGTAAGACCACGGGCCCTGGGACTGCCTGCCTGCTGCAGGGACGGGCCGGCCCCCAGGCACGTGTCCAAGCGGCGCCTGGGCCGCCGGCGTGCACACACGTGAGCAGCAGTGAGGCCGTGCTGCGCGGGGCCTCCCTTCTCGAACGCCAGCCTCGCTGCTGCTGACTGTGGGGTCCGCGCGGCCACTGGCGTCGGCGGGACGCACAGGGCACAGCCCTGAAGGTCAGGGTGAACTTCACGGTGGCCACGTGGACTGTCATCGTGTACGCGCAATGTCCTCTGCAGGCTCCCGGGTCAGCGAGGGGCTGTGCCGGTGGCCCCGGGGCGGAGGTGAGGGGGATGAGGCCGGGCTGGGCTGGCAGGTGCGCGGGGTGCAGGGCGCAGTGCATGCCCAGCAAGGGGGGAGGGGGAGAGGCCCCACCGGCCAGTTCACAGCGCCGGGCAAGCCGCCGGGCGAGGGAGACGGTGGGACTGCCCCCCTCGACCCGACGACACAGGCACTGGTCGCAGAGCCTTCTGCTGAGACGATGAGAGACGTCACGGAGACCTCCCGGGCGGGCGGCGGGTCCCCGTGGGCCAGGTCTGCCCGGACGGAGGGGCCGGCGCTGGGCGGCGTGCCCACTGCCCGCCCCTCACTCTGGAGTGCGCGGAGTTCCGTCTAAACTCACCCCCACGCACGTTCCGGCCGCTGCCCCGTCAGGAAGGCAGACGCGGCCGTGGGTCTCCCGCCCTGGCTGGTGGGACCGCCCGGCCACCCTGCACCCCGCCCCCCGCGCCGGGGTCCACACCTGTGCCCGAGTGCATGGGCTTTGCGGGTGACCGAGCCCTCCCCCGAGACCCTCGACTGACGGCATGTCACGTCTCGCCCCCCCCCCCAGCTTGTCCGGCTGCCCGAGAGCCACCTCGGCGATGAAGAAGGCGAAGCTGTCCGGGGAGCAGATGCTGACCATCCGGCAGCGGGCCAGCAACGGTAACCCCCCTAACCCCCTGACCCCCGACACACACGGCCGCACCCTGTCCTCCAGGCCCGGCTCCTCTCAGAAGTGGCCGGACCGGTTCTGTCGCTTTCCATGACGCCTGGCGCTGACCCGGGAGAACGGGCCACCCCAGGCCCCCTCGGCTCACCCCAGGGTCACAGGCCAAGTCGCAGGGGTCCCACACCAGGGGTTCCTGCAGCTACTCCCTGGAGTCCCCCCTTTTATGCCGCTGTCCACCCCCTCCCTGCGGCCTCCTCAGAGGACGGAGCGGCCCCCTGCGCATCATGCTGCGCCCCAGAGGGCCTGGTGCCCCCCGCTGTCTGCAGGGTCCGTTCCCTCCTGGGCGCGCCCCGGGTGTGGGGGCGGGCCCCTGTGAGCCCCGTAGCTGTGAACGCACCTACTCGCTAGCAGGCATGCGCAAACCCCACACCAGCACTCTGGTGGCGTGTTCAGGGCCGCTCGTGGGCCAAGGGGGCAGAGCACAGTGTATGGTCTGAGGCGCGTGCCTGGCTGAGCTGGGACCAGGGGCCCCGGCCTTCTGGCTGCAGCCCTCTCCGGGAGCAAGGGCCCTGCTCGTGGTCCGTGCAGCGCTGTCCTCCTGCGTTCTGTGCTCGTCTGGTGGCGGCGGCTCTGTTCCAACGGCCCCAGGCGCAGCGGTCGGGGTGCCCGAGGCTGCGATGGGGACAGCCCGCACAGGTGACCTCTGACCAGGCTGCCCGCGGCTGGGGCCCTGACCTCGGTGTCTCTGAACCGACCGTGCACACTCCCCAGGGCGTTCCCAAACACCAGCACCCCCGCCCCAGCCCTGTGGGCGGGGCGTAAAATGTGAGCGGGGCCTCGGCCTGCGGGAGCCGCACTCACCAGGCGGAGTGATTCGGGGAACGGTGCGCAGCGAGCGGGGAGCCCCGAGGGTCAGTGAGCGGTTGGCACCCGGGGCCTCTGAGAGGGCGCAGGCTCCCTCCCGGCCCCCAGGGGGTCCTGTGAGGACGGGCCGCACGGCTCCAGGCGCAGACCTTGCCCGCCCTGCGCCCCGCGGGACCAGGTAGCCCGCGGCTGCAGGGCAGAACATGCGGCCCATCAGCCCCCAGGGAGCCTGTGGGCCTCCGTGTGTGTCGGGGGCCTGGGTGCCTGGGTGCCCGGGCCCAGCACCCCGCCTCCGCTCCCGTTGGCACAGCGGGTGGGGGGCGGGCCCTTGGCGGAGCAGGGCCGCCCAGACCGGAGGCCGCCCCCACCCCCGCCCCGCGGTCCTGCGGTCCCATGGGCCAGCCCCAGGGAGCTGTTCCGAGACGCGCTGCTCGCTGCGCGGAGGAAACCACCCCGTACAGACCCTTCCCAGACAGCTGTGCCTCGGGCTCAGCGCTGGGAGCTCGGTCAAGTCTGACTCCGCAGCGAAGGACGCGGCTGTGGGAGGGGGGATGGGCCGAGAGGAGGAGGTCAGGGCAGGCCGGGGCCGACGGCAGGGAGCCCCGCGCTGGCACCTCTGCGCCGGCCCCAAAGCCCACCCTCCCCCTGGGGACCTGCGGCCGCTGTCAGCCAGAGCGAGCCTGCTGTGGTGAAGGGGTGCCCGCCAGCAGCCCGCCGGCCCGGGCCGGCCCCCTCAGCCCTCCGCTGGCTCCCCGCACGGGCTCCGCGCTGCTCAGCAGTGCCGCCCCTCCGGGTCGCCGCCGCCCGCCCACTCCTCTGCGTCGGAACACTTTGCCGTTCCTCCTGCCGCGGGTGCCAGCACACGCCCGTCCGCAGGGGCAGGCACCGAAGCCCCGGTGACCTGGACAAGGGCAGCGGAAGGCCAGAGCCAGGCGGAGCTGGGCCGTTGGTCCTGTCCACCCCTGCCCAGGCACCTTTGGTGCAAAGACGGGCGCCACCCGCTGACCGTGCGGCTCGGTGGGGAGGGCGTCATCCCGCAAAGCAAGAGTCACCGGTTCGATTCTCGGTCAGGGCACGGGCCTGGGTTTTGGGTTCAGTCCCCAGTTGGGGCGCATATGAGAGGCCCCCAATTGATGTTTCTCTCTCATGTTGATTTTTCTCTTCCTCTCTTCCTCCCTCCCCACTCTGAAAATACATAACATCCTAAAAAAAAAAAAAAACCAGTCCTGCTCACCCAGTTACCCCTGTTCGGCAAAGGGCTGTGTTCTGGCCCCAGGGGGCGGGGCTCGGGGCGCCATCCTGGGCAGGAGCCTCCAGACCCAACGACCCCTTTGCGGGCTGCTCCACCCCCTACGAGGGGCGGTCTCGCTCCCTGACTCTTCTCGAAAATGCGGAGTGTCAGACCTCGCCAGGGCCACTCGCTCGTTCCCACGGGTGACGATTGTGTCTGGCAGCTCCCCTCCGTCTGTCCCCTTCCCATCTGTGGGGGGCTCCATCCGCAGGGCCCCCTGGCCGCCCTGGATGAGAGTGAGTCTACCCAGACAGGATCTCCCTGGGGAGGAGAGGTGGCCGATCTGTCCCAGGAGAAGGGCCAGGAGCCTGTTCCTCAGTGGCTTTTACTGCGCTCGTTTACCCAGGAATTCAGGGAAAGCTCATTACCCATTGCCCGGAAGTAAGGATCAAACAACAAGGAACTCTGAGGGCCTAGTTTGAGTCAGGGTCAGATAGTGAGGAGCTGTAAAACTTTGAGGGACAAACTCACTTCTTGCTTGGACCCTTATCGTTTCATTGAGAGCATTCTAAACAAAGCAGGTTTCACAGGATTTTACATGTTCTTTCTTAGGACTCATCACCTAAGGGGGAATCCACCCTCTCCAGCATAGGACTGCACCGCCCTCTGTCATTGTTTCAGGCTTAGGTGGAGCAAGGGAAGTAAGGCAGCCAGAAGATTAGGAGATTTTCTTGCAGACAATGAGGACTCAGGTTTTGTCAAAGCCGAGGAGCGAGGGTCCATCACCCCCTTTTGCTGTAGCCCCCAAAGTCCTTCCTTGGGGGCCTCCCACGTGATCGTGCCTGTCTTAGATCGTCCCCCCTCTTGAGGAATTTTACCCGTCTTTGGCTAACCGACCAAGCACTGGGGGCCAGGCAGGGTGAAGTAAAAGGAGCAGAAGCGGCGCTCCTGCCAGGGAGATGAGCTTCGTCTCCTTGGTGGCTGACGGTCCAAGGCCGCTCCCTCAGCCTTCGCCTTGGCGGGGTCACAGCTTCCGATACCAGGCAGGGTGGTCCCCAACACCCATCAAGAACAGCCCCCAGCCCAGCACCTGTGGAGCTGGCTCTTGCGAGGAACCCCCCCCCCACACACACACACACTGCGTGCATGGCCCCAGCACGTGGAAAACCCACGGACACAGTGTCCAGTCACCACGTCTCAGTGCGTTTGGACCGCTTGCACGTTAAAGGGATGCTGCAGCCCGTCCCCGTTAAAGGACAAATCGGGTCACAACTGAGTGGCGTTCCACACCGAGGTTGCTCTGCCCTGGCCGTGCTGCCCGGGCAGCTGCGGCAGGCAGGGCCCCCCGCAGCGTCTCCCGCGTGCTCACCTCCTGCGTGCCGGGTGCTCCCACGCTTCCTCAGCCAGTGCCGCGTTCCGGTCCTGGAAGGCTGCGTCCCAGTCTGCCCAGGCAGGAGGGGGAGGCCGGAACGGCGGCCCACCCCTGGGACAGCGCCCGCTCTCTCCCGAACGGCTTTGGGGGTGCGCCGGATGGAGAGGGAGTTGTGGCTGATGTTCTGGGCCCTCTAAGCCGCTGCCAGGGCAGGACGTGTCATGGGGACTGAGGTGGCCGCCCGGGGCTCACGGGAGCGAGACCCGGGGCTTCCTGTTCACGGTCACCCTGGCTCCTCTGGGTGGCGGCAGAGGGAGGGAGGACCTGATGAGCGAGCGCTAAGAGCGGCTCATCTGAAAAACGCGCCATAACCTCGAAGGCTGACGTGTGGGAAGGAAGGGCCACTGCGTGGGAGCTCAGGGTGGACACGCCGCACGGTCTGGGAGCCCACTCACCTGGCCTCTGCGGGGTCCCGGGCCTGCCCTCCAGGTGGACCTCGCCCCTCTGTCTGCTGCAGAGGGTGGCCCCAGCCCCGAGCCGCCCCCCAGCCCAGGCTTGTCCTGTTCCGCCACAAGCACAGGGGTCCCCCTCGTGCGTGCCCCAGGGCCGTCGGGAGCAGGAGTCTTCCCTGGGCATCAGGAGCCCTTGCGGTCACCCGGATCCTGCTCTTCCCCCACCCCGTTCAGGCAGTCCCGAGAGACCGGGTGTCCCAGGTGGTCGTAGATCCCGGCCCCGGCCGGGTGCCAGGGCCAGCAGCAGGACCCAGCAGCCAGGCGAGCCTGCGTGCGGCCCTGTGCCGGACAGGCGCACGGAGCCCCGCACCCCGGTCGCAGGCCCGCCCCTCCCGTGCTTGCCTTCAGCCACTCACGGTGCGGGCACTGCGCTATCACCGAAGGTCGGGTGTTCGGCGGGCCCCCTGGTGGCCGCCGACCGGAAGCCCATCGCTGTCGTTGTCTTCCTTTCGGTCGGCTAGGGGGCCAGACCCGAGCACGTGGCTGCATCGGGTTTGGGGTTCCGCCTTTCACGGTTTTCCGACCCCTGATCGAGGCTTGGCCAGGGCGGGGACCCCGCCCGGACCTGCGGGAGAGGGCAGGGAGGGTGGGCTGAGCCAGCGTCCCGGCCGCAGGCGGCAGCAGGTACACGGCGCCCGGGCCCGGGGGAGGGAGGGCCACCTTCACGGGGACACACAGACGGGACTGCTGTGAAGTGCGAGGGTGTCTTCCCAGCAAACCCCACCCCAGACTCTCCGAGAGCAGAGGAGCACTCCCGGGGCCACGCCCGCCGGCCCCTGGTGCTGACGCGCGCTGTCCCGTTGGCCGCGGCAGGGATCGAGAACGACGAGGAGATCAAGCAGCTGGACGAGGAGATCAAGGAGCTGAACGAGTCCAACTCGCAGATGGAGGCCGACATGATCAAACTCAGGACCCAGGTAACGGCTCCTGCAGCCCGGTCCTGCCTGCCCCCTGCGCTCGGCCGGGGGCCAGGGCCCGGGCCCGGCCCTCGGGGGGTAGCTCCCTTTCGCCTCGCCCATTTTTCCTGTGTTTTTCCACCGCGTCTGAGGCTCCTGCTGCAGCTTCAGGGGCCGCGTCGCTGCAGCCCAGGGGCCCTCGGTCACTCGGCCGCTGTCCCGTCCGCGTTGTGTGGTGGCCGTTCCCAGAGGTCCCTGGCCACTGCCCTTTCCTCCCGCCGTGTGGGGCTCGCCGGTCCGCCCCGGCGCCCGCAGGGCCCCAGACAGGACGCTGCTCCTTGGGGCTGGGAGGCCGCCTCCGTGCATCCGCACGGGGCCAGGGCCCAGACGCCAGGGCTGTGTGGCGGGCGGCTGCAGGTGGGCGGCAGGGGAGCTACCGGATGACCGATGGCAGGGTCTTGCCCTGGGGGCCCCGCTCGGCTCGCCGCGGCCCTGGAGGTAGGTGTCCTGAGACTCACCCTCCGTGCCGGGCATCCGAGGTCCAGAGAGCCGACCGCCTCAGCTGAGCCGGAGCTGACGGTGAGCAAGTGGCTCTCGGGGCTTCCCGGGCCTTCCAGCGGCGCGTGTGGCCTCACAGAGCGGCCCTCAGGCGGCACCACAGGGAAGGCAGGGCTGCTGTCCTGCTGGAAGGGGGCTCCCCTCCCACCTGCCCCTGTGGGTCCCCCGGAGAAGCGGAGACAGGGCCAGGGACATGCCCAGGCCCTAGGGGTCCAGGCAGAGGCCACAGCCCGCTGACCCTCTCCCTACAGTACAGCCCGCACGGGCTGAGGGGGGGCGGGCGCCGTCTGCTGGTCCGGCCGTCCTGCCCCGCCTGCCCCGGGAGGAGAGGGGGTGACGTCAGCGGTCAGATACAAACACCGCCCTCCTGCCTCGCTGGGCTCATCGGGCGGAAGTCCCCGTCAGTCCCCTCTGACAGCACCTTCCTCCTGTCCCCTCTCCTCCTCCCGAGGCCGGAGGGCGCGCGCCAGGAGCCCACGGCTCCGGAGACAGGACTAGCGCCGCCCGCTGTCCCCCCCAACCCCTGCTCACCCCGACCCGCGTGAGCGTGCGGCTGCACCAACGAGACCACAACCCCCTGCGGTGACCGCTGGAGCCCTGACCCCGGGCTGGGTGGGCGCCAGACACCCTGAGCTGGCCAAAGGGTCTGGTGCAGCCGCAGCTGGGAGCGCCCTCGGCCCCCTTTCCTCGCGACCCCGGAGGGCCCCGCGCGCGGACGGGCGGGGAACCAGTTTTCAAACCGGGGCTCAGTCGGGGCCCGCCGAGTCAGGACTCAGGGATGGACCGGGTACGGTTCCAGGGAGCTGGGGTCCCTTCCTGCAGCGCTGCGGGATGCTCCCTACACCCCGCACCCCGCAGCGCGGGCGTGGCCTGAGGGCGAGGGCGTGGCCTGTGGGCGCGGTCCCTGGACGTGGGCGTGGCCTGCCCAGCGTCTGGCCCAGAGGAAGCCGGCTTGCCTGCGCATCGTGCTCTGCGAGCGGTGCTGGGCCGCCCTCCTCCGCCCCCACGAGCCCGTCTGTGGTCAGCCCGTGGGCCGCTGGCCCTGCGCAGGGGCGCTGGCCTTCTGTGCTGCAGGGCCCCAGCCCGCAGCCCGCGCCGGGACTTCAGAGGAGGGCGGAGCCGGCCGGGGGGGGGGGAGCGGGGCCTTGGCCTGGTGGGGTGCGCCTCAGACGCTTTGGCAGTGGGGGGCTCACCCCGGGCAGAATCAGATTCGGGCTGGAAAAGAAGCGGCAGAGAGGCCGCACTACGCTCCCGCCCGTGCAGAGAAGGCGGCAGGGAAAGCGGGAGCCCAGAGGGAGCCGCCGTCTCGGGTGGTCCGTGCCCGGGGACAGAGGGGCCTGCAGGGAGCTGAGCGCGGGCGCCTGCCCGCCCCAGCTCGCGACCCCACTCAGGAAGGCCGGCGGCTCCGTGCCCCGTGTCCCCACGTTCCCGAGGGGAAGGGATCAAAAGCGGGGCTGCCGGACCCTCCGAGCGACGAGGTCCGAACGCTGACGCGCTCTCGTTTACGTACGAAGGCTCTCTGTCCGCACCGCTGGCCGGCCGCCCCGGGCCAGGGCGCACGAGCCCGGGCGCGCCGGCTGGCCAGCCACCCACCCACGTCTGCCTGTGTTGCAGATCACCACCATGGAGACCAACCTGAAGACCATCGAGGAGGAGAACAAGGTGATCGAGCAGCAGAACGAGTCCCTCCTGCACGAGCTGGCCAGCCTGAGCCAGTCGCTGATCCACAGCCTGGCCAACATCCAGCTGCCGCACATGGTGAGTGGCCGGGCCCCGCGGCCGGGCCCGCTCGGGGCGGGGGGGGGCCGCGCAGGGCGGCCCGTGTCCGCGCTGCCCCGGCCACCTCCCCGCCCGCGGGCTCTCAGGGGCCCCGTAGGTGAAGGTCGCCCTGAGGAGGCCTTTACAGGCGGCGCAGACAGCGCCCCCTGCTGGGATGCTGTGTTATGCTGATGTGAATACTCTATTCTCGAGAAAGTAAAAGTTGTGTATGAACTACTATTTAATATCTCGTAGGACCCAATCAATGAACAAAATTTTGATGCATACGTGACTACTTTGACGGACATGTATACAAATCAAGATCGTTATCAGAGCCCAGAAAATAAAGCCCTACTGGAAAATATAAAGCAGGCTGTGAGAGGAATTCAGGTCTGAACAGCTGCTGTAGTGACCGTAGTGACGGAACCTCTTAAACAGGACGCCTCTGTCTCTCGCTGCTGTGACCTCCCAGAAACTGCCCTGTCTCTGTTTCTGTTGGAACAGTGTCATGCTCCCAAGACTCCACAATGGTTTTATGTCTTGCTTTGAAGATAGCACCTGCAGAATAGTTTTTGAACACACTCACATTTTGTACGTTTCCTACGCGCTGACACGGCGCGGTGTCCCGTGCGCTGTTCACAGCCGCCGCGTGCGCCCTGGGGTCCGTATTTCTGAAGAGGCGAGCCGGTCCGAGTCAGTAGCGTGTAAATCCTTTTTAATGCTTTAGCGATTACATGTTTTAGTATTTCGAACTGAAATGGACAAAAAAAAAAAAAGAGAGCTTTGAATGACCCTGAGGTGGCCCCAGCCACTTGTAGACACTATCATTTCGCCTCATGTTGGAGGATTTTATGGAATTTAAGAAATACATTTTGTGTGCATATTGTTTCATAGCAAGAATTGGTTGCAAAAAAAATGCTTTATTTTTGAACAATGCTTGGAAATATTATGTGATTTTTTTGTTTGTCTGTTTTAGGAGGATGGTGGATGGTGGGGGCAATAAATGAGGTTTTTTGCATTCCAAGGAAATGGCATATGGATTAACTGTAAGAAATAAGTAATTTATTGTAAGACAACATCAAGCCATGGAAACTTGGCAGAAGATTCAAAGCAGCTTTCACAGCACTTTTAAATTAGCTCCTGAGCGGTGCGTGGCGCGACGCCGGGAACGCCAGTGAGGCAGGGGCTCGGGAGAGGCGGACGCCGCGAAGACTTCCCTTCCGCGCCCAGTGAACTCTGCGACGACCTCCTCGGACCTCCCCGGGAGTGGCCCGGCCCCCGGACCTCCCCGCAGGGCGGCGCGGCCTGTCCCGCAGAGCCCGCGCGCTGTCGCTCGAGCTCCGAGGTCGTTGGCGTGTTTGCTCCCCTATCCGCCTGAACGGCTGCACTGCTCTTGTCGTCGCGGGCTCCCACTCGGGGCCGAGGGAGGCGGCGTGCGCGCCTGCGAGACGCCGGACTGAACTTCCTGCTGGACCCGGCGGCGGCGGAGCTGCCCGGGGCGGGGCCTCGGCGCGGGAGGTCGCATTCAGAGCGCCCCGCCCCCCGCCCCCGGCCCCCGCCACGACCTCTGCCCTGTCGCCGGAGACTGGTGGACCCCAGAGCACGGCGCAGCCTTGCAGAGCTGTCGTGGGCCGTCCCGGAACGAATGCAATCAGATGTGAAGAGTAACCAACGTACTTCAGCACTTTTTCTTTACTCGAGACCACCCCGGACCCGTCCACGCCGTGGAGACGGACCGCCTCGCGAGACCCCGCCCGCCCCGCCCGCCGCCGCGGCCGCGCCCCGCCCGCCCGCGAAGCCAGTCCCTAGGACGCGCCGCGCTCCCCGGTGCCGACTCGACCCACACGTTGTAGCATCGCTTCCTTCCATGTCTTGATGTTATGCAGGAAGTACGCGCGTACTTTAAAATTTTGTTATGAAAAAAAAAAAAGATGGGTTTTGTAAAAATAAAAAAAAAATATTTTTAGCAGAACAGGACTTACAGGGTCATTGTCCCCACAACGTGCCAGTCGACTATTTGCACTCACCTTGTCCCGAGTCCCCGTGCGGACCTGTGCAATGCCCGCGCCGGAGCCGCGCGGCGCCGGCGGCCGGAGGGGCGGAGGGGCCCCCCCGCGGCCCCGAAGACGCGCGGCGGACGCTCTGACCCAGTGCCCCCCTCGGCACTCACGTGTATAAATAAATGTACGTACTCCCCCGCGGCACTTTACATGGCTCCCTGTACAAACGCTCCGTTCTCCGCAAGGACTCCGACCCGAGCTGGGAGAGACGATGTTGCCCCCCCGGGGCCCTGCGGCCGGCCCCGGGGGGGCGGGGCGCCCGCTGTCTGCTAGCGCGTAGTTGCAGCCGCCGCGCTCGCTCGGCGTCGCCTTCGAGAGCTGAGGCCGGGGGCTCGGCACCTGCCGCCGCCGCCGCCGCCCCGGGCCGGCCCGGCCGCCGTCCACCCCGGCGTATGCATTTCCTCCGTCGTGTCTGCAGCTTCTTTGCCAATATAGTAATGCTTTTAGTAGAGTGATAGGTAGTCTCGGCTTTGGACTCTTCTTGTTCTCACCTGTGTACAGTGGAAAGGGGTTTCAAGCACAATTCTGCTGCTCATCTCACGTGGGTGATACTATCCAATCGAAGTTATCTGTGACTATAATATAGGGTCCCCAAGTGTCTCATGCTAGAATGCTGACCTTCCATATGGAGTTCTTGTGAGTCATCAGAGTTTATTTACTATAACTTATTGTTCATATTCATTTCTAAGTTAATTTAAGCAATCATTTATCGAGACAGAATTTTGTACAAATATTTATTGTGCTCTCTGTGGAACTGAAGTTTGATTTATTTTTGTACGACACGGCATGGGTTTGTTGACACTTTAATTTTGCTATAAATGTGTCGGATCACAGTTGCGGTGATACTTCATTTTTAAATTGTGAACTTTGTACAAATTTTGTCATGCTGGATGTTAACACATCTTACTCTAAATAAAACGGTGTTGCCACAACTGCCGCGCGGCGGGTCTCTCGCCGGGGTCCACGGCTTCCCTCTCGCCCCGGCCGGCAGGGCCGCCTGGGCCCGGGGACGTCCCAGAGGGGGCCGGGGGCGGGGTTGGGGGTCCACTCCCAGGCTGCTGTGCAGAGCCCCGCGGCTCCGCTGCCCCTCGCTTGTCTGGAAAGACGTGTCCCGTGCGGACGCGTCAAGCCGACCTGCGGGTCCCTCCCCAGAGCAGGGACACTCGGCTGGGCAGCCACGACCCTCCTCACGCAGGCGGGAGGCTGCGCTGAGGCCCGAGCCCACGCCCGAAGTGCCCAGGTGGCCCGGGAGTGCCGGCACGAGTCCCCCTGACCCGGCCTGTGGAGGACCCCACGCTGCCGACGTGGTCACGTACGCCCGTTGTCCCTGCCCCCCCCCGCCTTCCTGTCCCTCGGGACCCTGGGGACCCATCCAGCCGCCTGGGTGCGGGCCTGCATCCTGCCGCCTCCTGACGGCTCAGCCTGGACACACCTCCTCCGCACCTCACACCCCCAGGCTGCCTGGGGACCCCTGAAACTCCAGTTATCCCTCAGATACGCCCTTCTCCTCATCTGTGTTGGTGAAAGTCAGCCTTTAAAACTCCCAGAAAGCGCTGATACAAAGAGGCGTGCCCCAATCACAAAACCCCAGGAAGAGGCCCCATAACCTGTGTGAAGCCCCAGATGCGCTCCCAGGGCCCTGCCCTGCCCCACGGCCGGGCCGCCTGGGCCCCTCCAAGCGCCTGCTCAGCCTGAGCGGGGCTCACAGGGGGCGGGGGTGGGGGGGACCCAGGCTCCCTCCCGCCTTGTCTCCAGAGGGCGGGCGCGAAGCCTTGCCCGGAGCAGACACAGCAGAGCAGGCGCTGGCCCGGGCAGTGGGCGCTGCTCGGTGCCTCGGGCGTGCCGACTCGGTCGTCACAAGACATGCTCTCCCTCAGGAGCAACGTGGCTGAGAATCCGTGTCAGCATGTCACAGTGCAGCGTGGCGGCGCCGTCAAAACCACTGTACGACTTCAGTTTTAAGTCTGTAATCCCAGAGGCCTCTGCTGCAAACCGAAGCGAGAGTGCGTGTGCAGTGATGGTGCGGCACAGCCCAGAGGCCCCGCAACCGAGGGACGAGGAAGCGCCCGGTGACGTGTGTGCTTGTGGGGCTCCGTGGCGTGCCTCCGTGGCGTGCCTCCGTGGCGGTCACGGAGACCTGTCAGTGACAGTGGGCAGAACAATGGCAGAACCGCACAGGGGACAGGACTAGAAGTGCCCTGAGAAACAGCCCACCGTTGATGGCTGAGAACCACACTTGACCCCCCTACCCCGTCGGGGCGCCCCCTCCCTCCCGTGTGTGTGTGTGTGTGTGTGTGTGTGTGTGTGTGTGGTGCAGGGGGAGCGCGGGCGTCTGTCACAGTGCCCCTGGCCCCTGGTGAGCTGCAAAGTGGGCAGCTGGGGACAGTGATTGGCTCCAAGGAGGTTGAGCTCCTCCCCAGAAAAGAAGGAAGAGGAGGAACTAACTAGGAAGCCCAATTAGAAGGCAGACGTCTCCAGGTGTAGGTGAGGATGGGACAGAGGAGGAGGGACAGAAAACGGTGGAGGGGGTGCCAGCGACACCCCCCCTCCGTCAGGGACCCGGACGGGAGCCTGTGGGCACCCGTTCCTCACCCCAGTCTCAGGAGGAGGCCTGGCTCCGGAGACGCCCACCATCCACGCTGTAGCGTCCCCAGTGTCCGGGCAGAAGCCACAGAGGCCACAAGACAGGGGTAGGGCAGCAGGGCCATGCTGCCCTCCATACAGAGGCAGAGACGCCGATGTCCAGAGAACAGATGCGGACTTTCCCCTCTGTCTGCGAGGTGACCGTGACGTCACACGCAGAACGTGCTCAAGCCAAGTACCCAAAGTTCTGAGAAGACCTGTCTTAAGATGACCGCAGGCCTCTCGCAATGATAGGCAAGTTTCCATCCAACTGGACTCTGGAGGCACACAAGCCTTCTGTGCAACACGCTCAGGCGACACAATGTTGCAGCTGATTTGATACAATGTTGCAGCTGATTTGACACAATGTTGCAGCTGATTCGATACAATGTTGCAGCTGATTTGACACGATGTTGCAGCTGATTGGACACAATGTTGTGGCTGATTCAGGGGCAGGGGCAGCCTGGGACCTTGGGGGAAGCTCGGGATAAGTAACAACTCAGCCAAGTGGTTTTGCCATTCAACAGAAGCGCGTTCCTGAGCATGGACCTCACCGGCAGAGAATCGGGCACCAGATTTGCAACAGAAGGTGAGTGCGAGCTGGCCCCCTCCTGGCGCACGTGGGGAACCCGAGGCCCAGGGAGAGGGACAACGTCTCGGGGGGCCCCAGACTGGGTGAGGCTGCCTCCCCGTTCGGCTGTGTCCCAGAGCCCAAGCTCTTTCCTGTCTCGGTCCTTGCAGGGTGTTCTGCCGGGTGGGGAGACAGACAGGAGGACAGGTGACATCAGACACTGTGAAGAGGTAGCAGGAGGCACCGACCATGCTTGACCATGCCTCCAGGGACAGTGGGCGCTAATGACGCAGATGGACGCAGAGCCTGAGGGGGAGGGGCTCTCGGGCCGAGGGCGCCCGCTGAGCAGGGGGAACTCCGCAGCCGGACCACTGACCCGCTCGGCCCCGGCAAGGGCGGCCGACCGTCCCCTTGGCTGGGGGCTGTGCTGGAGGCGCAGAGGTGCCCACCTGTCCCCGTGCGGCCCCTGCAGCTGGGGCGACCCTGCAGAGGGCCAGCCACCCCCGGAAGGCCTGGGGGTCCCCGCCCATGTCCCCGGGTGGAGCGCAGGACCCAGTCTGCATCCCGGACCCGGGCACACCCCCCTCCCCCCCCACTGCCCTCCCTGAGGAGCTACACATCCTCGGGGGCATTGCTCAGACTCTCCAAGCTTTGGTTTTCGGTTTTTATCTGCAGCGGCGGTGGTGATGCCGGGGGCGGGTGCTCCGCGTTGGCGTGCGGGCCTGGGGCCGGGCGTTCAGGCAGTGGCAGCGTGGCTTCTGTCCGTCTCCCGGACCTCGCCTGACCCGCTCGATGGCCCCCGTTACGGGGAGCGGGCCGGCGGTGAGGGTGGCACCTTCTCAATCACCTGCCTCCGCTTCTGTGTGTGGGCAGCTGACCGACTGTCAGCATAGACGCACCGGGAAGGAATGTTCGCCGTAGACGGTTAGCAGGATTCGCTGGGGCAGAGAATCAGCTGGAAAGTGGTGGCCAGGGAAAGGGGAGCATCTCACGGGGTCTCCAGCACCACCCAGGCCCTCCATGGATTCCAGGGGCGGCCGGGCCCCTGGAGGCGCAAGGCCGCCGCGGGCCTCTAGAGGGCAGGCGCGGGCAGCCGGGAACAAAGGCGTGGGAAGCGCGTTCAGCCCCAAGGAAGTCAGCTCCCCCACTGAATGCGAATTCTTTCGGGCCTAAATCATCCTAGGAGCGGCCCCCAGTGCCGCCGGGGCGCCTGGTCCGCCGCCGGCTCGCGGCCGTGTGCCAGCCGGGGTCTTCGGACAGACAGCAGTCACCGTGGCGCGGGTGGGGGGCGGTGACAGGCGGGTGGGTGGAGGGTGAGCGGATGATGGGTGGGTGGGTGGGTGGACGGGCAAATAAACGGGTGCACAGGAGGGAGAGAGGGAGGGAGGGAGGCAGGCAGACAGGCGGACCGAAGCTGTGTGGGTTTTAAGGAGTCGGCCTGTGCAGTGGGGGCCGCGGGCCTGAGCCCTGGGGCAGGCCAGCGGACCAGAGGCGCAGGCAGGCCTCGGGCAGAATTTCCTCGGGGAAACCTGTTTTCACGTTAAAGACCTCAAACTGATAGGCTGGGACCCACCCCCAGGAAGGACCGACTGCAGAGTTAATCAGTGGTGATCTTATCTGCAAAATGCCTCCAGCGTGAGGCCGGGCGGCACGGCCCCGCCGGGGACACTAAAACCGACGGGACAGAGGGTGGGGAACGCGCTGCCCCGGGGCTGCGGCGCTGGGGCGCTGGCGCGCTCCCCTTAGACTGGCGACTTCGGTGGGAACGAAGGCTCATTTCCGACCAGCGTCCTCCCCGGCCCCGCAGCTCCTGCTGGACGGCGCCGCGGCGTTACACGGTCGCCACCGCGGCGGCCGAGGCCCTGCTTCTGCGAGTCCGCAGGAGAGGGGCTGCGGGGCGTGGGGCGGTCACCTGGCCAGCGCGGCGCCCAGGGCTCTGCACTAAGGTCTCCGCGCGCCCAGCAGGGCCCTGGGGGCAGCGGGTGGGCAGTGAACAGGCCTCAGGTCTCGGGAGGGCGCCCGACAGCCTCTGTCCGTGCGCGCGCGGGTAGAGCCAGAAAGACAGAGGAGAGAAAAAAAGCGCCCGCTTGGAGCCGGGCCTGGAACGGAGTGAGCGCTGTAAAAATGTTTCACGAAACAATGAGAACGCCGCGCACACGGTGGAAGCCGAGGCCCCGGCTCCAAGGCGCAGCTCTGGGACTGAAACCGCGGCCCCCTGGTCTCCGCGGCCCCCCGGGAGCTCGGCAGCCCGGAGGGGGGCGCCGCGGGCGGACGCCGAGGCCGGAGGTCTTCGCCCCGCCCCGCCCCTGCCCTTGGGGAGGGGGGGCCGGGAAGGGAGGAGCCGCGCGCATGTGCACAGCTGGCGCCCCCCGCCCCCCGCACAGCTGGGACGTGGGCCGCGGGCGGGCGGGCGCAGTTCGGACCCGGCCGGGGACGCGCCGGGGCCTCCGCGGTGGTCGGGGCGTCCGAGCGTCCTCGCGCGCCGTGGCCATGGCCGTGCGCCCCGCGCGCGCCTGCCTGCTGGCTCTGCTGCTGTGCTACGACTGGGGGTCGCTGGTCGCAGTGGCCCAGAGGCCGGGCGCCGGGTGCCCGAGCCGCTGCCTCTGCTTCCGCAGCACCGTGCGCTGCATGCATCTGCTCCTGGAGGCCGTGCCGGCCGTGGCGCCGCAGACCTCCATTCTGTGAGTGCGCGGGCGCGGGGGCCCTGGGGAGGGAATCAGGGGCCCGGGGCCGGGCGGGGCCCGAGGGCTTTTGTCCGCGCCGCCCGGGGCGCGGAGGGCGGACCCGAGCGCAGAGCGCGGCCTCCGGGACCGCCTTTGTTCGCAGCCCGGAGCCCCCCGCTGGCCGGGGAAGTCGTCGGAAGCAACCGGGGAAAACCCCGCTCCGGGCGGCCAGGGCCCCCTCCCGCCCGCGGCCCGCCCCCGCCCCCCTTTCTTTCGCGTCTCCCGCTCTTCTCCCTGCTCCTCCCCCTACTCCTGCTCTGCGCCCCCCGCTCCACCTTCTCCGGGAACCTCGCTCGGGGATCCCGAGTCCCGGAGGTCCCCCGCCCCTGTTCCCGCATCCGCCCGGGGTGCCCAGAACCCCCCATCCCGGGTGTCCCGGCCCCGCGGGGCGCGTGGTTTCTCGGCCTTTCCCTGCGCTCGGATCGCGCCTGGCGGCCGAGGCACCAGAAGGGGCCGCGGGGCTGGTCTTTGGGGTTTGGGCAGCCCGGGTCCGAGCGAGTTTCCCGCCGAGCGGGTCACCCGCTCCTCTCCAGCCCGGCGCTGCGATCACGGGTGGGCCAAACTTCGGGGGTCCCGGGCACCGCCGTCCGCGCAAAGTTACGCTCACCCTCCCCGCGGGCCCCGGACCCCGCGTACCTCAGAGGCCGGATCCCGTGGCCTGGACGCGGGTGCCCGGGGCCCCGAGATGTGCGGAAGGACTTGGACGTGGAATGCGCTCCAAGTTAACGCAGGCGAGCGCTTCAGGCGCCGCCGCAGCCCGCGCCCTGCGGCTGCCCTTCTGGATGCCAAAAATAGTTTCCACTTCTCTTGGCTGAACGGGCGCTGTCGGCGCCGCCGCGGGACCTGCAGGAGTTGTAAAATTTTGAGCGAACTATTCAGGAAGTAGGCGGTCAGCGCGCCTACTTTTCAGACAAAGTGCAGGCGCAAACCGGGCTCCCCGCCGCCAGGCCCGCAGGACCCGGGGTGGGAGTCCTCCGCCGGGAACCAGCCCCCGTGGGAGCGTGGGCCTCGTCCAGCACCGGAGCAGACAGGGAGTGCGGTTTTATGGGGGCAGACGGTTTGGTTCTTGAGCCAGTCGGTGCGAACGACTGGGACCGCGCACACCCGTGGTTGCATCTGGCCGTGCCCGGAGCCCGCACTGGGCTCTGCGGCCGCGTCTTCACCGCTCTGTTAGAGGAACCGTACTTCCGAGTCGGGAGTGCTGCGGCCCAGAGCCCGGCCCCCCACAGCCCCTGACACCGGGGCAGAGTGGCCGAGGGTGGGCCTGCCTTCCTTTCAGACAGCGCTGGTTCCTGCGCTCCGGGGCCTCTGGGGAGCTGGCCCTGCCGGGCCGTCTGGTCTGCGTGCCAGGCAGGCTGGCACCAAGGGCCCGACGCCCGGCAGACGAGCGGGTGGGGGCACCTTGGGCACATGCGTTGTGCAAACCTGGTTCACGGGGGGCAAAGGCCCATCCTGCCGGTGTGGCCACCCCAAGGGGACCAGCCCCGGGGCCCTGGGGGAGGGGACCCAGGGCCAAGTGGAGAGGTAGTGGTGATGGGTGGGGGGTTTGGGTAGGAGAAGGCCCAGTGGGGTCGGTGCACCCCAGGGAAGTAGGGGGTGGGGTCAGGGGGTCACGTGGGCATGAACCCCGGGGCCAGTCTGCCCGCTGGGGCACGGCCACTGGATAAGCTCCGCCCTCACAGAAATGCCCGGGGTCAGCTTCCCCCCCCCCCCCCGGGCCTGCTCTCGCAGCACGCTGGGGTTGGTGCACGAAAAGTAGAAGTTGGGGACTGGGCCCCGGAGTCAGTGAGGCCACACAGCCGGCGCTTCACCCCCTCGCTGCCACGGCCCCCCGCCCCTGCCCTCAGCCCACGAGACTGAATCAGGACCCAGGATGGACGGACTCGCCGCCCACAGGCCGCAGAGCGTGCTCCGGTCGGGCCCGGCGGTGCAGTGCCTGGGTTGAAGGTTGGGGCTCCCGAAAATGCTGCTCTGAGACCAGCCGTGACTCAGGTTCCGGCCGACCCTCAGTGCAGGCTGGCGGCAGCGGAGGGATGCCCAGGCCCAGGCTTTGCAGGGCCCAGCCCGCCCCCAGGCCCCGTCAGCGCCTGCATCTCCCCCAGTGCACGCGGAAGGTCAGATGCCACGCGCCGTTCCTCACTGCAGGAGGGCGTTGTCGCCGCGTGAGTCGAACGCTGCTGACACCAAAGGACCGCTTCCCTCGGCCCCCCCACCCTCCGTGGGGTCCTGCCTCTCTGCCTCCGTGGCCCTCCTCGCGGCCCCTTTCGATTCCCCGTGGCCCCCACTCTGAGGTCCCGGGACTCCACCCTCCGCCGTCCCTCAGTGCAGGTCAGTCCGCAGCTGCTGGCCCGTCCCAGGCTGCCGTCCGCGCACAGGAGGCCCCGGGTGCTGCAGGGGCCTGGGGGTGCGGCCGGGGAAGGGCCGCTGCCCAGCAGCCCTGGCCTGGCCCGGCCCGGCCTGGTGGGGGCGAGGCACGGGTCCCCGCCGGCCACTGTCCGCCTGGCAGGCAGCTGTTCCCACCCACCCCGCTTCCGATCAGCTCCCAAGTGTGTGCGGCTCTGCCCCGTCTGGTTCCCGCCGCACGGAACCCCTGGCCAGGGGGGGCCCGGACGGGGGGGGCCTGCGAGGGGGCGGTGAGGACGAGCAGCCGAGGCCACACCGGCCCCCGGACGCCCCGCACCTCAGGGCGACTGGGCGCCCTCGGCAGGCCCATGTCCACACGGGTGGAGGGCCCTGCCTTCCCTGAAGCCCAGCTTGCCCTGTCCGCCCACTGGCCCCCGCCCCCCGGAGCTCCCGCCCCAAACCTGGCTCAGGAGAACCCAGTTCCCGCCACTGCCCTCTGCCCGGGTGGGTGGGGCTAGAAACTGCCCCCGGTGAGGGGCACTGGAGGGGCCGAGTGCTGGGAGGGCCCCCGCCCCCACCCAAGGGGGCCTCTGCGCCAGGTGCTGACAACGGTCCAGGTCGGTGGGTGTCAGGGCCGCCTGCGTCCCCGGGGTCGGCAGGGAGGCCCGGAAGTCGGAGCCTCCGGCTCCAGCAAGACGAATCCCCGAGTTACGTTCAATCCCCTGCTGTGATGAAGCCAGAGCGTGGGTCCTGCCAGCTCGAGGGCGTCTGAAAAGTGCTCTCAGCGTATTTTAGAGTGGGCAGGTGCCGGGCTGTCGCCCCCCCACCCGCGTCCGGCTTCCCCCGGTCCCAGTGACTGCCTGTCTCAGTTACACGTGGTCGGCCGCAGTCCAGACACAGGCAATGGAAAATTCCAGAAATAAACAGTTGTTGGGTTTTGAGTTGCAGGCTGCTGGTGAACTCTGCCTCCGTCCCGAGCGCCCCCCGGGGACCTGACTCACCGGCTGTCCCCTCCCCTCCCCTCCGAGCAGCTGGCCCGTCATCCGAGCAGCTGTCCCGTGGGGCAGGGCTTGTGTGCGAGTCACGCGTGTCACTGGCTGAGGCCCGTCCCGGGGCGCCGCAGCGGCGAGGCTGGCGGGGACGGGAAGCTGGGGGGTGCCTCCCTGGGGGGGGCGGGCAGCACCGTGCGAGGCGTCTTGCCAGAGGACGGCGGCTCCGCTGTCCTGCCCTCACTGTCGGGTTTCCTCCTCAGTTGCCGAGGCCCCCCCTCGCCCTCATCTGTGACTTGAGCCCGGCTGTGGCTGCAGGCAGGGAACCGCTTGGTGGATGCAGGGTGCCGTCCGACCGGCGGTTTCAGCAGCACGCGACCCCCGAGGGCGAGGGGGGCCGTACTTGGTCTTCACAAAGCGAGAGGCGGCACCCACTGCTCAGGGCCAGTGGCGGGTGGACGGCCAGCCCCCCTGGGAGGGGGGTGTTCGGGGGGGCCCCTGGAGCTGTGTGCCTCCCCGGACTGTCACGCCCCCTGCAACCCGCCCAGCACGTATCTGGGAGCAGGGAACTCTGCGGGGCCCCAGGTGAGAACTCCCTCCCTCCCCTGCGTTCTCAGGGCGTCGAGGAGGCGGCCGGAACCGGGACCCGCCGCAGCGCCCACGGCTCTGAGTCAGAGCCGCGCGCTGACCGCAGGCTGCCCTCCCCCCGGGGCCCGCCTGCCCCCGCCGGCACGCGGTTCGGGTGCGTCACTCACTTCCTGCTCTGCATGGCCCTGCGACTCGGTTTCCCTGCCCAAGAAGGGCGAGCGGCTGTCGGCCCTCTCCCCAGGGCCGGCACAGGGGCCGGCGGGGGAGTGAGTCTCAGTGCTCGGGCAAGGTCCTGGGGCCGCACGGACGGCTGTCTGTCCTTCCGTCCCTGCTCGGGGCGCAGGTCTCGCCCGCCGGCCCCAGGGCCACGGGCCCCGGGGCCCCTCTCTGTGGCTGCAGGCAGGCGCGGGCTGCAGGGCTCGTGGCCTGCAGGAGAAGATGGGACGCCCCGTGACACAGAGTGGACGCTGGGCAGGTTGGACGAGATTCAACAGGGCTGAGGTCACGGGCCTGAAACTGGGCGAGGGGTGGCCATCCGCCGCGCCCGGTGCTGCGTCCCAGCGGCCTGGGGTGGGGGTGGGGGGCTGTCCTATTTCCACTGCCGGGGCGCCCCCGACAACAGGAAGAGATGACCCAGAGGCTGGCGGGAACGTGGGGGGCCGCGGGGTCCCCCGCAGGGCCCGCAGCCAGGAACCGGGGCTGGGTGGCAGGGACCCGCGTCCCGTCTCCCCCGGCTGCGTGGCCTTGGAGAGGCCAGGGTGCGTCTCTGGCCTCCAGAGCCCCGGTCCGGGCTCCCCGATCCCCGAGCAGGCTGGTCGTGGCACCTGGGGGCACCCGCGGAAACGAGGTGCCCTTCAGAATGCCTTGTTCGGTGAATCCAGTTTCAGAGCCGCTGAGCGTGACTGAATTGATCCCCGGGCGGTGAATCCCAGGACACTCCACGTGGGCCGGGTGCCCCCGGGGTCCTGACGCACTGGGGGGCCACCGGCTCAGCGTGCTGCGCCCCGTCCCCAGCTGGTGCCATGTCCACGGCGACCG